CAGGAATGGGGTACAGGTTTATCGCAGTCACCCGTAGAGAAAAGAGCAAAAAAAGTCTTGATTAGAGTTTTTTTCACAAGAAGACAACAGAGATCAGACAAAGCGGGGCTGATATGAAGAGGCAGATGGGGAAGGCAGAGCCTATACGGGGGGATGTCTACTAAGAAATTAGCTGCCACCAGCATCATCCAAAAAAGCCCCACGTACTAGGCCAAGACCACAACCAAACGTCTGCACTGGGGCCTGAGAAGCTGGAGAACATCACAACAGATGACCGCTGTATTCGTGGCACAGCTCTAATAGCAGAAGAGTTAGAAAGACACTCAGGAATTTTGAGGTATTAAGGTAAACATTTATGACTCCCAACACTGGTATTTTCATCTTCCTGGAAGAAGGCACACACAGTCCAGTTTTGCAGCTCAAGACGGGCAAGGAATTGTTCAGCACACCTGCAGAGGGGATCAGCGAACTTCTCCAAATGCTCAAGAGGTACTTCGGCACCTCTCTGGGACGCGGACAACCTTTGCTACATGCTCAGGATTAAACTGGTCCCACGGAAATGTTACAAGCAGACCGCACCACATCTATGTTGATTCGAATTTCTGAAGGAAGACCTCCTCTGCAGGGTTTTGGAAGTAGCAGAGTGTGAAAAAATACGAGAGTGGGTCACAGGGCAGGGCATGGCTCCCACCGCTCCTCAAAGTGGTGCCATGCAGTGGCGTATGTCACAGGGACCATGCCTGCAGAACCAGTCACCATCCACTCCCTGCTGATGCTTACCCTCCCACAGCTTTGCTATTCTTCATCTGCTCTACATCCAGTTAATTTAAAGCTCTGGTGGAAAAATTTGCTCTTACTCCAGCCTCTGCTTACCTTATTTGCCAAGCCAAAGGCAGAGTAAGCAAGACAGGTCACTGGGTAAGTCCAACTGCTGGGTCAGGAGCAGCAATTCTGGCCCGAGGGCTTGGCCAGGCAGAAGCATGACTAAAAACTTCACTTTGTGGAAGGTGAGGAGAGGAGTCGTCAATTTGGGAAGCGGTAACTGCACTTTAACAGAGGCGGTAACAGGACAGTACAGGAAAGGTGGAGATCATGAAAGACGGCTGTGCTCTTAGCACTGTAGCTGGTCAAAGAGGCAAGAGAAAACAGTTAGATATGAATACCAAAAAGCGGTGCGGACACAGCAGCTGAGATGACACCTAAAATACAGAGCAGGCCTTGAAAGGTATCAGATGAATCCCGCCCTATACTCCAAAATGTCTCAGAAGAGACGCAAAAGACTTCCTGAGTTTGACCCTGGGGACAAAACCTGCACCGACTCTCTCACTGGTGCCAAACAGCAGAGAAGGAAGGGAAGACATTGAGCCTTGGCCCCTCTCTTCTGCTCACAGAAACAAGAAAGCCAAGATCTAGCTGAAATAACGAGTGCTTCCTACAGGCTCGTGATTTTAAGACATCTGGGAAAGTTGGGGGAACAAGTCCTTTGGAATAAGAATGTCCAAATTCTGTATATGAGGCGATGGGGTTAGATCACACAGTGCTCAACACAGCTCCTTCCAGAAGAAACACACATGCATGTATTCACTTAAAATACAGCGAGTGTCCTCAAGCCAACGCACTTTCAAAAACCCCAGTGGCCTAAACAAAGAACTGTCTGTAACCAAAATACCTTCAATCATTCCCTCTGCAAAACCCCCAAAATGGGAAAAGATGGGCTTTACAGGGTTTGGTCAAAACCCCACCTCCTGCTGCACTTGAGGCCGTACTGTGCATAGGAATCACTTTTAACTGCCAATCGCTGCTGCTGTAATGCTTGCAAGGTGCAGATTTTGCTACTGGAAACATATTCTCTCTCAAGGACTCTAAATTCTGGTTGTAAAGATGTCGTATTTATAAGATATTGGCAAAGGCACGTTTCTAGCCTATTGGCATGCAACGCTCAAGAGGAAGAGGGGACCTATTCTACATCCAAACCCCGTCTCCAGGTCACTAATGGCTGGGAAGCAGTCTTCTCTTGTCCTACGTAGCCTCGGGTGTATTTTTCCTCTCTAACAGATTACCCTTTTAATTCATAGACAGTTTCTGCCTTATTCTCTTAACAGGCCCCACACACTTCTGGCCAAAACACACCCTGGCTGCTGGCTCAGCTCCGGAACAGCGGGGGGGCTGAAGGCATTTTATGGAACAAGCAGAGCGCCGTGATTATAGGTCTTTATTCTCATATTAATAAAAAGTGCAAAAGCAGATGCCAATGACCACAACCTGGCACCGTGATTTCTGGAGCCTCCTGCCCATAAATATAGGAAAGGGTTCAGTTGTGAGCACGTGGCTGTCCCATATTCGGAGTACAAAAGGCATTGGCACCTGCGGAGGAGCGGTCCCAGGAATGCTGGTAGCTCGCTGGCGTCACAGCACCAGCACCGCAGACACTGCGCCATCGCTGAGCTGTGCGCAGCACCGGGTCGGACGGCGGTGTACTCCCGGTCCTGTGTTCCCATGGCATGGATAACACGAGCCCAGGTTTAAATTACATAGCAGGAAAGGGGTTAAAGTTTAAATGACTGTTTTGTATATGAATTAATGTATGTAGCTTTGAGCCAAAATATCTACCATTAATTTTTCCACCTATTTCAGGAGCAGTAAGATACACAAAGTAAAGTTTATTTTGGTACTTGGTATACTTCACTCTCATTAAAAATAAATTAATCAGCAAATTCCTACACAGCTCAGTCTTCTTTTATGTAAATACAACCCAGCTGTAATGAATTACAAGGTGTTATTATCTCACACACACTGTATAATACTTCACACATAAGAGGTTTCTCTGCTTAGCTCAGCTTTCAACAAAAGCATCTTAAATAAACTGCAAGCAAGTTGTTTGGTCTGTAATGTTTTCACAGAGAAGGGATACACCTCACACAGAGAGAGTTTCTTTACATGACTCATTTTATAACAAGTTAAACTGAGGAAGTTCGCCTCGGAAAAAAAATAACAAAATGCCTTTTTTATACACAGAAGGCTCCCTAAGAGAAGACTAAAAAAAAAAAAAAAAAGCCAGTGTTTGGGACCTATATTCTGCATCCCACTGCTCTTTACACAGCAAAGGGATGTCAAATATTCCCCAAAACACCCAATATGAAGAAAGCAACTTCAGAAGGAAGAACAGTCACAGCCAGGCACAGTCACACTTTCACTGATTAAGGATTCACAAATTAAGGATTATCACCTTTGACTTTTGTTTAATAGTTTTATTAGGAATAAGTCCTGCTATTATAGGGCTTATTCTTATCAAAAGGGCACATGGCACAGAAAACACACGCACATCAATTTTACCCAGACTGACATGTATTATTGACTAGGATTTTAGACAGGAGAGAAATGAAAACTGTTTTTGTCACTGACCTGGAAATAGCCTGGTGAACCATCCACCTACGCAGTGCGCCTCAGCCTCTGCTGACTTCATCAGCGAAGCTCTTGCTCCCGTAATGACTACGTTGGTGTCATCTGCCTGCACAGCCATATAAAGTTTTCACTGGGGTTGACAGGTCTTGTTAAAAAGCCCTGGACCACTGCTTTGGGGGACGGAGGACAGCACGGTCCTGTCCATCAAGAGCCAGGGGCAGAAACGGGGATGTCCTTTTCATAAAGAAATTCTTAGACCACAGCTTTAAAAAGAAGATGGAAATATCAGCAAGGCAGAACTGAAATACCAAGTACTCTGAGGGAGCTTTTAGCGACAGCCCAGCCACATTTTGGACTTTATTCTCATTAAAATGGCTAGAGTCATAGAGGATTACTGGGGCCTGTGCATTATTCTTTGCATCCTCCTATCCTGTGCAACAGAACAGAGAGTTCCTAAAAAGGATTTTCACAGAAAACCCTTCAGAATCTGTTAAAGCAATTCTTAACGCCACTAAAGCAAAAATGGACCATTCCATCTTGGTATCAGGCTTTTACAATACATTAACATCTAATACGCAAAGCTCAGATTTGCATTCATAACCATTCAGCGAGCAGAGGAACACCGCTGTGTCTCTACGTAGCAGCAATCCAAACGAGGCAAAGGACAGAAACGTCTTCTTGAGATAACTCTAAGTCACGGTAAAATACCTGGTTTCCTAAAGACAGAAGGCAGGTCTTTCAATTTGTCAGCAAGGACCACTCAGTGCCATAAAAAGGACAGAGGTTCTCAAACCAACTAGCATTTATTTGCGGGTGAATATTCAGAAGAGTGTGGCTGTCCAATTTGCTACTGCGTCACCACGGATAGGGTATCTAATTAAATATTTTCTTTTCAACATCAGATTTTCCTTCCTGACCCCACAGCCTCAGCCCAGTTCAATTTCAGGCACGCTTCCCAAGCTGATCTGACGAACTGATAGAGATGTCAGGCGCCGGTGCTCTCAGAGTCCTTCGTCATTGTAAACAGGGGAATGGGGCTTGAGGATGCTGCGGGCGTTGCTCTCCACCAGCGGCCGCCAGCTCACCTCGCCCGTCAGCAGCAGGTCCTCCCCGCTCAGCGCGTCCAAGTGCTGCACCTGCAAGGACAGGAGGTTAGTGCAAGCTGTCCCATCACCCATTCAAGTTCCTCAAGAGCTACTCGAACCAGAAAGAAAGCAGAACGGGGAGATTTTAGCATACTTTGTCATTTGTGTGAGGTAGACCTAAAAAGATAATTGATGAGGCTTAAGCGTCATGGAAAGGTTGGGAGATAAGTATCTGCAGATCCACTGGAGTTAACTGCGTAAGGTCTTCTACTAACACCTTAGCTAATGCTTCCTCTGAAAGTTTGGCAACAGGACAAAGAAGAGCCACACAAAGTCAACATGAGTCATTTTACCTTCCTGGCAGTTAATTCAGATGACACACTGCTAGTACCATCATCTACACGGAGTCCTCTCATAGAACTGGTTTCACATAGACCAAGGCTTTTCACTACAGAAAAAGCGCCTGACGAGCAGGGAACACACGGGAGTTCTAATATAAAAGCACATGAGCTGGAGGAGATAAAGATGAAATGAATGAATACTCATTCTCGTGATACAAGAAATACTTGGGATCCAATGAAATTTTAAGGTGCAATGCAAGCACAATAAATTCTTGTCGCACAACGTAGCGTTAATTTGCTGCCACAGGACACTGTCAAGGGGGTGAGGGTGGGGAGGGGGAAAAAGTCCATCAAGGGTCAGTAAAAGACAAAACCACCACCTCTGGCTCAGGAAGTCTGGGAACAAAGATTGCTGGGAGACTTCACCAGGGAAATAGTACACATGCTTGCCCAGTTACTATATTCTTCTCTGGCATCCACTAATAGCCCCTGGTAAAGACAGGATCAGCAAGAAATTGTGGGAAAGACCTCATACACAACGCTTACTGGAAACAAAAGGTAATTTGACAAGGAGTTTCTCAACAGAGGTAAGAATACACCAATGGCCACAGAGGGTCAGACCAAAGAGCCACCTAAGCACAATGTCCTGTTTCTGACAGTCGTCAACAGCAGATTCCCCAGGAGGAGTTGAGTGCAATGCATGCATACAATGTTTATTTTCCTCGTTCATTTTCCCTCCTTCTCAAAATTTGTTAGTTCGGGGATTTTGAGCCTGAAGTGGTGGTTGTGGATTTAATAGCCCAGGACAGACTTCTCTTCCATAAACCTTGCCAGTGGCTGTGGGACCCACGTGCAATCGTAGTGTCCCAAACAACTTGTGGCAACATTATGTCCCCATGTTCTTGTATCAGTGAACAGCCTTTCCTTGCTCAGCTTTCATACACCTTCAAGATTTCCCGGAGCTGTCTCATCATCTTTGTCAGCTGTTTTTCAGGCAGGGGATCCTACTCATTGCTAGCAAAGCAACTGTTTCATGTCATCCTCACAGCTCTTCTCTGAGCCTTCTTCAGTTTGGTTTTTATCTTTCTTGATGGTCAGAACCCAAACCATACACATTATTCAAGATCACAAGGGTACCATGGATTTTAAAAGTGGCATGACAACGCTATATTATTCTCTATTCCTTCCTTAGTAGTTCTGAGCATTTGTTTTACCTTTTTTTAAACACTACAGAGTACTGAGCTGACATTTTGATAATACAATTATAATCTCAAGGACTCATTCCTGTGTGGTGAGAGACAGTTTAGAGCTCATCAAAGCTGGGACTGGTTTTCTCAAGTGCACCACTTTAGAGCTGCCTACAGGAACGAGCTGCCTTCACAGAAGCTGTGCTGATTCTTCCCCAGTGTGCCACATTTATCTGCGATCACTGTTTCCTATTCAACTGCTGATAGCTTCTGTCCTACCTGTTGCTTGAATATACAAAAGTGCAGCAAATTCCCCACTTGGCAGCAAATTGTCCCAAATTACACAGTTTTTATATGTGTTTGCTGCCTGCCCATCTTCAGTTTTAAACTGTCCTACAGCCTCACTGATGTTAAGCATTGGCAACGGTAAGCATTAAATGAAGTCTGTCCCTACTGAGAAGCCCTCTGGCATTCCAAAAGCGTCCTCAAGTCCCATACAAAGTTCAGCCCTTTACTTCCCGCACCATTTTCTCAGAGACACACTGAAACAGTGTTGCTCCATCTCTCTATCTGGTCCTGATAGCTCCAAATCTCTATCTGGTCCCGAATATAGTATTGGAAACATTACAGAGAATGCTGCTGTGGAGGCTCTGCCCTTCAACTCCCTGCCCAACAGCTTACACTCTTCCTCCAGAACCTCTCTCACCCCTTTTCTGTCTTTGGTACCCACCTGGACTATATCCTACCAACATTTCTTAGAAACCCGGTTCACAAACTTCCTAAGGGTTGAGAGGACAAACACTGCTTAATAAAGTTTCCTCCAGGTAATAACTGAAATAAACAGAAATAGCTCTGGAAAACAAAACCTTTTACTTCTTTCCCACAAAGATCATCAGGAGACTTTCAAGCTCTGTTTGCTATTTATTTATGAAGAGGATCCCAACTCTGCAGCATCAATTATAATTCTACAAGTTGCAGCCCATTTCTGACATCTCTTGCCAAGCCCCTCCGTAGCAGAGGTCCAGAAAAAGATGAACAGAATTGCTTTCAATATTATGTTAATTTTTCCACAGTTATTTTTCATCAAACTGCAACAAATAACAGCCAGTTTTTATATTGTTACCTTTTTCGCCTTAAAAATAATCACCGAATATAAAAATCAGTTATATTTATGAGGAGAACTCAGGGAACTGAGCTACATAGTATGCAAGCAATAAAAAGAAATATTTAATATTCTAAACAAGAGAACGAAGCGAAGTCGCCCTGTGAGCTGTATTGTACCTGCTTGCGCACGTACTCTACGAGTAACTCCAGATGCCGAGGGTCCTCGCAGTTCCTGTTAAAAAGGTTTCTCCAAAGAGCTGCTGCCAGAACATGATCATCAGACAAGATTCCCTAAGGGAAGTACAGAGGGGGATTAAAAACCGCTCATGAAGAGGGTCTGAACACAAGAAAAGCACATTACTCTACTTAGCAACTGACAGTATTAGCTGTCTCAAAGCCCACAGCTGCTATGGACCGTACACATGAAAAGGCACCGACATCACTCCTTCCCAGAATGGAAAAACAACCCTGGCCTCAAATTAATTTACAGAGCAGCCTCTAACAAATATTCCAGCAAGTTAATTTGGAAAAAAACTGGGTCAGGGTATTCCCAATGTAGGAGCTGATAATTACATTTCTGTGTTATGAAACCTTTACCATAAAATTTTTGGCCTTACCGAGAAGACAGCATAGAATTGTGTGTGAAGCTCATGACACTTCAAAAAGAAAAATTAAAGTATATTTAATACAAATTTGCAGAAGTGTAGTCAGGACTTTGCTATTTTGCTTTGCTTTTCTATTTTTCATTCTAAATGAGAAAGAGAGAACTCCTCATCATCAAGAACTATGCAGATTTTTCCAGTTAAATCTAATATTAAATTTGGCTTATACAAGAATCGCATCCATGAGCGCTTTTTGTCTAAATTCTCTCCCACTTTTATTGTCTTTTTAGATTATGTGGTGTTATCACCACATAACTCCTGTCTTCTACCGCCACGTTTGCCAAAGGCAAGAGAGGACTCTAAAATACTCAGTTCAAAATAAAAAAAGGTCAACATTTGCCTTTAATTTAATGAGACATTTTGTTTCCAAAAAGAGTGTCAACAAAAAGAGAAAAGAAAAAAAAAAAAAAAGATAGACACAGGCAGACCCAGCCTGGCTATACTTAAAACTAGATTAAAGACTTGCATGCATAATGCTGCCCACAAGTCTATGAAGTTTACATTTACAAGATATTAATGACGCAGATCACCATGCAAAAAATATCATCACCACGTCAATAAGAAGAGCATCTGAAGAGCAACATCCACTAGAGGAAAAAAGAACCACTAAAAAGAAATGATGTAATTGTATTTTCTTCTCTAAAGTCCTGCAGACACTTGTGCGCAGTGGTGCTTTTGCCTCCTCATATTATTAGATACTGCCTATACATACCCTCCCACATAGACTCCCTATAAATAATCTCTTTGATTTCAAAGTATACCTGAGTACAATGGGGTTCAGAGGGAGGAAATGATTTACTGATGGCCAAGCAGTGATGGTGAAGCAGTACAAAGAACATCCCTTCTTCCATGTCCCATGGTTTAAAAAAATATGCTGTCTGCTTCCTTTTTTCTTAAAAGCACTTTAATGCAAGGCATGAGACGATCGCAATAACTAAGAAGTCTGCTTACATAACATAACATTTCTCCAAAGATATGTCTGCAAAGGTTTTGCCCATCTGGAGTATTCTGTGTTCATTAATTAGATGGTCTATTTGTTCTTGCACGTTCTCTGAAAACGCCCTTCTTACCTCATCGTATCCAAATAGAGCTGCATAGAAATTTTCTACCATACTTCTCAAATCTTCCTTTAGAACAACAGAATTAATCTGAAAAATAAAGCAGAAAGCCATCTGTATAGGCTCTGAAGAGGAGATGATGAGAAAATATTACCCGTTTCACTCCAAGTAGGCAAAGAAGAAAGAGTGCCTTGGCCTACACGGGTTAGCGTTGGGCTGTAAGTAACGACGTCAGTGCACTCAAACATTTCAGAACATGCAATACAGCTCTGTTAATTCTGTACACAAATGAAAGTCAGTGTTACTCGGAATATATGAATGGCAAAAAAATTCTCAGTCAACAGAACTGACATATAGTTACATGAGTGGAGAAAAAATGCAGCTGAGGGAAGAGTGAAGGCAAGGCTGGCCTTTCAGTGGCAGCACAGGCTAAGATAATCAAGACTCCTCTATATTCTACCTACTAAGCAGGTTTTCCAGACCTGGATTCATTCACCCAGGTCTTTCAGAAACTCAGAGGTTTTTCAACATTTTTTTCTAAAGCAGACTCCAGAGCTGGATGTGCTGTTACAGCGAAAGCCCTGTAACACTAACGAGAGAGGCACCGTCCCTGCCACTACTCCTTCCTTGCTTGTCAATATTGACTTTCTCATTCATTCTGTTTCTACAGCACCTCTCTAGAAACACAGGCTTACCAGTTTTTGACTATTACTAAATTTCTTTCAGAGTTTGTGATGATCCAGCTACTTCCCCCAATGCCGTAAGTTTGACTCAGTCCGAGTTCCGCACCGACTCTTCACTAAATTTAACAGCTGCTGAAACATTTGCTGGTTTGGCCGAAGCCACCCATTGGTTTGCAGAACTGACCCCATGTCAGCTTAAGACGGAACCAAAAGAGATGATCTGCTCGGTCCAGAGCGATGGCTAAAATACCTCGCGTGCACCTCCCTCATACAAACCGCCTCTTCCTTTTGCCTGTACTTTTTCCTTCTATCCACAAAACGATTTAATGAACAGTTCCTCTCCCGAGGGCTAAGCTTCAATTGGTAAAGCTGCTTCTTTGTATTGACTCTCACGAGAGATCTAAGAGATACCACGCATTTCTCTTCCACAGATCTGGCATACAACATCAGCATAAATGCCAATTATAAATACCTTCATCCCGGCGTACCAGCAGAACGCGTATATATGAGGTTGCATCTTGGAGACAGGTTTTACAAAAAAGAAACTGCAACCAGGAATACAGGGTAGGCCATCAGGTCTGCTACGGAATAAGCACTGCTGTCTTTGATGTACGGCTTATCATGAGACTACAGAAAAGCTGTGAAAACTCGCATATCTAAAATCTTAATACTTATGACAGTGTGAACTACACGTCCTAAATACTTTCTTGGTATCCTTGAGAGTAGTCACCTCGGTAAAGATACAACAGCTTTTCTATCAAAATATCAGTTAGTTTTTGCCACGCTAACAAATCTCCAGTTCGAATATTCTTCCATTAAACCGCTATCTTTTTTCATCTGTTGATTTTTATAGAAATGCATATAGTGCAAACACAAGGAAAATTCCTTTTATGTCAGTTACTCATAGTTTTCCATTAATATAAACTATTAAAATTCATGCAGATATTTTATAGGCTATCAAGGTTTGGAGACTGGTTATTACTGAATGTTGAAAAAAAGAACTAAACATAAGAAATCAGAGGGTTAAATGATGACTGCAACTTCTGTAATGACTTAATTAAATTTTTATTGAGTACATAAACTATGATGTCATTTCTACCCAACCATGCTCAAACTTTCTATGCATGTCAGAGATCGTGGTTTTTCTCAATAGAACATACTTCTAAATAAGCTGCACTTCTACAGCTCTAATAAGGGGGAGCAGGTCTCATGTAACACACTCAATAAATTATCCTTCCATTTTAAACAAACAAATTCCATGAGTTATTATATATTTGCCACGCACTTTTTATGACATAATAAAAATGTTACCTCAAGGATTACTTAACACATACTACAAATGTTACAGCAGGCAACTGCAAGGGGCAAAGAAAACAAATAGTCCCATTACAGAGACAAGTCCTGGACTATACATCCCTAGGGAAGCAGCTTTCTATACTAAAAACAAAGAGCAGCAGCCTTAAGTTAGCAAGAAACAGATTGATGAAGGAGATAACCAAGTTAAACAAACACGGCAATAAATACATCTTAAAAGACAAACAGTTTAAAATATAAAATATGACTTTGGGGAAGGAGCAGTATCTTAGGCAATAAAATTACATTTAAAGGAATACTGCATTTTCTGAAGAATACAAACGGCACAGGTTAAGTACAAACACCGTAGGAAAAAATCCTTCTTTATAAAACAAGAAAAATGAGTAAATCCAAATCAGCATTTGTTGGAAATGCTTCCTCTTTTTAAGCTTGTACATGTTCTTAGCACTGGCAAGTTTCATGATCTGGTTGGTCATGATTCTGCTGACTCTTCCACAGTTTGTTGCTAAGAAGAAAAACTGCTAGACAATTCCAAGTGAGTAATTGCTAATAACAAGAGAAAAATCAGTAACATCTGGAGCTCTTCTAGGGACTCAGCCCCTTTGCCTTCTTTGGAACAACCCATTGCAGAGCCGTCACCAGGATAAATTTATATACCACTGCCTAAATTGACACACAGAACTATCTTAGCTCAAAACACTGAATACATTTTGGTACATCTCTCACATTTACAAGACCTTTTAAAAAAAAAAAAAAAAGGAAATGTACAGCTAACGTATCTTCCTACTGCGTGTCACAACTCTTCATGTAAGGACTCCGTGATCCCACATTCTGCTTGCAAGATGACTACAGCATACGACCACTGCATTTTCATTATCATATTGTAGTAAGGAACCTCGTCTTCACCCTCAATGAGTTCAACATGCATCACTCAAGAGCCCGCTGGTGAGGCTTACTGCTAGAGCAGACATTTTACAATATCAAGTCTCACTTAAGGTTTTGTATTCTAACAAAATTTCCCAGAAAGTAAGAGCACACCGCTTTACTGTACATGCCAGTCATGTATGAAAATAGCTTATGGATGAGCACAGCTTTTTAAGTGAAAGCTGCTATAGGATTAGTCCCTATGAATGTCTTTTGGTGGATGGAGAGCATTTTTTCGTAATGAATCTCCGCCTCATCCCCACTTACTGTGCTTTGGTTTGCACTGCAGAGAAGTCTCAGAGTGCACAAACTGGGAATGGGGCTCTAACGCGCTCTACCTGCGGAGAGGCAGCCGGCCCACGGGGTCAGCCCACAACCAGCCACAGGCAAAGATCATCCCCCTGCAGCAGGGACGCTGGATCGCCGACTCTTTCACTCGACCAATGTGTTCCTCTCAGACTACACTAAATGCTAGTGCGGACACAGCCGTGCTGTCCAGGGGCTATGCTATTTGAAAGCACTTTAACAGGAGTTTCTTTCTGTTAGAGCTTTTGCCAGCATGTGTTGCACCCTTAAGCTACTTTCACACGTTAATCCATCCATAGACTATAAAGCCAGAAGGGACACTTCCAACTGCACCTTGTACAAGTGCTAGTCATTGAATTTCATGCAGCAATTCCTCTCTTTAGGCCATAAGTTATGGCTGAATTAGATTTTTTTATGAAGATATTTCAGCCAGAAGAAATGATTAGATCATAGAACCTGACCCTCTGCGTATCACAGACCATTACATTTCACTGAGTTCCCTCTGTACTAAGCTCAGTAAGTTGTGTTTGGCTAAAGCATATCACCCTCACAGTTGAACATGTGTATCTCATTTCATATTTGAATTTTCTGGCTTAAGTTTCCACCCCCTCATTCTCATTATACCATTCCTGCTAGAATAAAAAGCCTCTTCTGTAGAATGTAGTTACTCCTGTACCTGTACACGGTAGATGTGTCAGCACAGTCATGTTTTCAAACTAAGATTAGGCTCCTTAAAGTAATGTTTACGCTGGGTGCGCTGATACACTACATCATCAGCGCACTCCCGGAGTGGTCAAAGTTGTAATAGCAAAGTAGTATTTTATGCTGATACAGTAAAAATTAATCCATCTCTTGTGCAAAACAAGTAACGCAGGTATGAGTACACTTCTGCTGTTATGACCGAGTCTACTCTGGGGACTTCTTTTAGCCACATTGCCGTAAACATCAATTGATACCCATCAACATTTTTGATCACTGGAGCATTCAATATTGGCAGAAGTTCCTGAAGGAGATACAGGACAAATCTTTCCTGATTAAAAAAAGTCACTTCTCAAACATTTACACTTTTTTATGCGCCTTCTCTTAAGTTGCATTTGGAAAGAATGACTTAAAATATACAGTTGACATTAGTTATAAATAATATATAACCACATCTAGTTATATATGGGCTTTTTACGTGTTTGCTGCCCTTTTAATAAACACACATGCTATTGAATTGGAAAACCTGCATACAGCCCTTTTATTTCCTCCAATAACGTAACTATTACTTCTAGGACAGTAATTTTGAAAATGACCGAGAATGTAGCTAGGATCAAAAAGATTAAATTAGTAAAACAGATTAAAAATATCTCTGTAGCAAGGGGCCAAAAAGGCCAGTTCCTTCAGGCAATTTCACATAGTTGTGAAATGACAAAGATATTGCAGAAATTATTTTTCCAATCTTCATTTTTTGAGCCTTTTATTAACCACTCTGCTACTCTGTCTGCAAGCAAGCTTACTGCCTTGTAATTAGCTACAGCTGTGAGGCCCCATATACTTTCAAATATTAACTTTTCTGATAAATTCTCTAATTTTCTAATTAAAAGTAAGTAATTTTGTAATGCACCTCAGTAGATTATTAACTTCAGAGAAGAGTCTTTAAAGCCTTCTTCAACATTCAGTGACAACCTACTTCAATACTGTATTAACCTAGACAAAAGTTAAACGTCAGATTGTATCAGAACCAGTTCCTGCCAAAACCTTCAATCCGTAAACCCAACACATTAATGGAAAAACACTTTTGCATGCTGTGCTACCTTCATAACAATTGCATAATCATCAATACCACTCCTTACAGCTTGTTTATTTCAAGCAGACATAGAA